AGACAGGGTTATGTGAGATTCTTACTCACTAAAACCCCCCGGGGGCCAACCTTAAGTGCGACTGCGAGGGTCCCGGGATCTCCAAAGGAACGCACCGAAACCCTTTGCACTGCGCTTCTGCACGACTCCAGGAAAAATTACGGAATTAAGGACACGATCATCATAGCTACTGGTAATTAAATTTTTGTGACCTAGTAAGTTCTGTCATATAATTTGTAAAACAATATATGATAAGAAAGGTACATCCTGACTAAGATCATGTAACATTTTTTAGTCAGACGTAGACTAAGCAAACGTAATTTAGTTTAATTATGCCCACAGGGTCAAATAAAATTATTAATCTATACATAATTTTATTTGATAGAGAATGTACAGAATTAGTTTGCAATGGCGGCTGAATTGAATTCTATACAGTATTCGACACCAAACGATCAGATTTGTAATTCAATATGCCAATCGTACGTTGCATACCGCTTCTTCTTTACAATCCTATTGACGAAGATGGAAGTGCAACTGTAAACATTTTCAAGGTTAAATATAAGTCATTGTAAAATTAAGTTCACTTTTTAATTATAATTTTAATCATTTGCACTCTATCCAATTTTATATTTTTGTTCTTATTTATTAAAAATACTAACAGAACTACTGAGGCATTTTGCAATAATATTTTCTAAGACTGAAATACTCGCTTTTTAGAAAACTCTTTAATACTTTAGGCATAAATTGGTAACGAATAAAAACGGGTAAATTTTAATTAAAAAAATAGTTTTGTTTAGAAATAGCGTTTGCAAATTAATTGCATCGGTAGTGAAGTTCATAATTAAATTAAGATTTGCCAAATTAATGCAATCAACATTGCGGTTAACATATCCGATCTATCATGGTTGTATCAAAATCACAATTCCTGTGGCTTTTGCATACTCATTTTCAAATTCCAGTACCGTGAAACTTATATACAACATCGTTGTCTCTATTTTATTTAAATAGAATGAATAGGATAACGATATATCAATGTATTACGCCAATGGAAACTGATATTTAGTATTGTTCAGCTTATAAGTAATTCTATAATCATTTTAATATGAACCTTGGAATCAATGTCGAAGTGTCGAGTAAGCGAATAAACGTCGACGCGCCTTACAAATGCAATACTTTACACATTTGTCACAGCGCTGGTCGGATTACAAAGGAGTCGTACACGTCGACCGCGCACTACCACTGGTATTTTAAAATAGGGTTGTCGAAGTGATATTTTGATTTTGACAACCCTATTTTAAAACACATGATAGGACTTAGGACTGATACAACACGATTATATTATAAACAAAAGATTAAAAGAAAAATAGAAAATAAACGTAATATTGTATCGAGAAAAGAGGAGGTTAGCAGTTGTTGTTTAAAAATAAATGTCAAAGAATTTAGAAGAGAGTTGTTCCAGAATCGTACCAATTAAAATTCCATAAATTCTGATTACCCTTCTGTGCTACAGGTGTGTTATTATACATTTTATATTTACCTTACAAGTGTTTTGATTCATTTTAATTTAACGGAACTTACGGGAAAAATGATTATATTATTCAAAAATAATTTTAAAACAAATTGTAATTACTATGCCAAAATCCAAATCTGAAAAAGTAATAGCGTAGTAAAGTGTAAACATTATTTGATAGTTATCTTTAGTACTACGGTATAATAGAGACATCGTAGAGACGACAAAGTACTATGTTCAGACACTAAATAAGCTACGATCAAACACGAAGCAAACCTATCTAATAATATATACGTTGCATTTGTCAATATGCTACAGTGCAACAGAGGGAAAGGGTGCATACGTGTTTACTCAAATACGTTTGCGACCGTTTATTGCAAATACAACGTAATCGATAGGAAACGTTTGAAAACATTTTCGAGTGATAAGTAATATTACGACATATCATTTTAACCTTCTTATAGTCGACAACCCTGGTTCGACGTCAACGGTAACGACTAATAGTTATTATGTAAATACAATACCACATGTGAAAAGTGAACCATTTTTTTTACAAGTACCAATATTTCATCAAATTCAATTCGAGTCTGCGACAATTTGAGAACAAAGACTTTTTGATAAGATTTATAAGTGTTTTTTTATATAGTATTTGCCAATACAATTAATGATGCATCATCGTTAATCAACGGTAATAAGACCGATCTTGATATACGGCTGCGTAACATGGACACTGACCCTTAAAGAGGAGGAAATGCTTTTGGTGGCGGAAAGAAAAATCATGCGCAAGATTCTGGGCCAAACGCAAAGAGAAGACGGCAGCTGGAGAACCCGCTACAACGCAGAAATTGAGACGCTCATGGATGAGCCGAATATCATCGGAGAAGCAAAAGCTCACAGACTCCGATGGCTGGGCCACCTCACGAGGACGGGGGAAGATCGAAAGACCAAAGCAGTGTATCTCGGGGCCCCGACTAGCCGCCGACCCATCAGTCGGCCCAGGTACCGCTGGCGAGACGCCGTAGAGCTCGATCTGCGGGTGCTACAAGCGATGGACTGGCAGGAAAAGGCTCAAGACAGGTGACTTTGGCGATCTCTTGTATCGGAGGCCAAGACCCACTTTGTGTCGATGCGCCAGCGGAGTAAGTAAGTATCATCTTTAATCAAAATGATCAATAAGTCAAAGTGTTTTTTTTTTTCTAATCATATCTAAAACATGCGTCTGAGGATTACGCGTTTAATATAAGTCGCGCAGTACCGCTTTAGCTTCGTAAAACTTCCCTTTCCGTGTTGTTTGCTAGTAATGTTAGGGTCAAAGGTGCAATTTTTATCATTATTACGTATGGTTAAAACGCACTTGTGTGTTTAAAAATTACAAACGCTTGATAGGAACAACAAGTTGAATTGACCCGCATCAATACTATAGAACATCCTACCTTTAAAATTCAACATTTAAAATATTTTACATTTTAATCAATTTAATACTAGCATCGGTGATAAAAACCCAATCTAACGTATTTCTTTTACCCACATAGGTAAAATAATATGTATTACATCACCATAGAATTATTATTAAAATTTATAACAACATATTTACATGATGTTGTGTTTTAAATTCGTATCTTTTTTTATAAGATACCAATGTAACATCGGTGACATTATCGATCCATTTATGAACCGAGATAAAGTTGTGCAAAACATTGATTTGGTGCAACATAAGGTTAATGAATGTCAACAGTTGATGCATAATAATTATTTTTATATCGTTCACCGGGCAACAGTAAAAGTAAGATAGATTATTTCATCATATTTTTTTAAAGACAAAGTTGTACGTATTGATAGGAAATCTTATTGACAATCTGTTGTTCGGTCGCCGGCGAACCCGTGTCATGGACGCCTGATAATATAAATCGCTGTTTAATTACTTTGAATTTAATATAATGGAATCAAAACGTATATAAAATTACCGAATTTGTTATATACATTATATAAAACATTATGTAAATATCATCAATTTGCGTCGGTTAAATATTTTAATACTTTATTTGTTATTGCACTTTTGTTGTACATTTACCTTCAAACTTAACTTGAAAACCTATCTATAAATGTCGGTACATTAATTGATCAATATCAAAGAAGTACTTATCGTTTCTGATACCAAAATTCCTCTATGAAATATATCGTCATCCCCCTCATTATCATTGACAAAGCTGAGATAGAAAAATAAAGGATTAAACTGGAATTATTGTCTCGGCAACTAACCATTAGTTATTTTTTTAACTTAATAAAACTATTTTTTCTAGCTTTCGTGACATTGCAACGTTGTGTGGGTTCGAATACTTATTTTTTAATTTTGTGCGAAAGCGAAACAAACAAGGTCCATGATGTAATTGAGAATGACAAAGTCGGGTCGATGGCAGAGTTCAGTGTTGAGATATCTTACCAACGGAACGTCATGCTCGTCAGGGAATTATTACTATTAATATTTTATTATCACAGATCTTTTAAACATATATGTATACATAAATATGACATATAAAATTACCAGCATTAATAATTTCTAAAAAGAAATATATCAAATCAATATAATAGAAAAATAATTCTTAATTTGAATTTCAAGGCTACTTTGATTCATTTCACGTAGATTATTCTATGATTTTATTTCTATAATAATATAACTATTAGCGAAATATTTCCCCTCGAAAATTAATTGCATGTTGAAAATGGTTCGTTATTAATGACAAACATGTTAAAGGTTGGTTGGTTGTAATGTAAATCGCAAATAAAATGATGTGTCGTTCAATATAATTGAAATGTAATTAAATTCACACGTACAAAACAAAGGTGGCAAGGTACAAAGCGAATGGGGTCTCCGCGCTCGGTAACTGAATCCGCTCACGGTAAGCGCCTGTTCCCTTAAATTGTTCTTATTTTCACGCCATTTATTTCGTGTGTGCAACGTCACATTTTTGAATTTTATCGCTTTAATGTTTTATTGTTTATAAATGCATAGGTGTTTGTTGTGTCGAGTTTTATAGGCAGGTTATTAGTTTGTTACGACCTGCGTCTACACTTGTCGCTTTATATTCATAAGTTCCTATGTGTTTTAATTATTCGCTATAAAATATATTTTTCAACAGACGTAAAAATAAGAACTTTAAATAACTTTTCACACTTGTTTAAACCTTTATACGCCAAAAGAGGCTTTGTTTCTGAATTATAGTTTTTATTATTGACTACAAGAATTATAAGACATAGAAATACGTTGATGGTAAAATTCGTTTCCTGGTTAAGAGTGAACAAGAAGTAAGAGGTCAGGAAAAGCGTCATTGTTTTAAAAGTTGTATAAATTAGTCTCTGGCTTTACTCGGCTTATCTGGAGAGCGTTACGCTAACACGTGTCCCAATAGTTAGGTATCACACACCGCATGAGGTTGTTCATACTGAGACGTTGATACTGGACCATATACGCCAGGTCATAAATCGGAGCAAATAACAAAGGGTAGTGACTCACCGTAGGATGTATGTGTGCGTGAGAATACAGCTGCATTCTGCGCGTGTCAGTCGGGTACGCCGAGGGGGGGAGATCGTTCATTTCGAAGTTGGTCTGCAGGCAAGGATTTAGCCGCACGACGTCCTCCTCGGATGCCCGATGGAGCCCCGCTCCATCGGCACTTCGGGCCACTGTTAACAATGGTAGTCAAATTCAAATTAACTAAATAAATACATCAAATTTTAAATAAGCAATCGTAGACGACAAGCTACCACACTTCTGATACTACATGACCACATCTCAGCATCCGCAACAAAATGTTAAATAAAACTGAACTGATAAATTCGTCGAACATTTTTATGATTAAAATATTATGTCAGCGGTACCTACATAGTACGTGCTTACGAGGCATGTTAATATTTATATGATTGCGTCATCGCGACTTATTTATCAAATTTAAAATACATAAAGATATACATAACATATATGCCTAATGAGTTAGAAGACCGGAAATATGTATGGCCCGCAATCTAATAAGCTAAATTAAAAACTCTGATTCTAGGCCGATAGCGCTCCTGGAAAGTATACGAATTAAAATACTCGCAAAAGTTAAAAATCAAACAAGACATATATATTACAGGTGGTAATAATTAAACGAGGAATGGACAATAGACGCAATATCACATATCGACATCATTATCAGCTCTGTACGTCCCACTGAGGGGCTCGGAGCCCTAAGTTAGGGTTGACTAGGCCGCAGTCACGTGAAAAAATATTACAGAATGAGAGTAAAAAGCCGAATCCACGTCGCAAGAGGGGATCGGTCATTTAATATTCGGACTTCACTAACCTTTGGTTTCGGAGACCAATACTTAAATCCCTGTATAAAATATATCGTCATCTCTGTCATTATATTTGACAAAGCAGAGATAGCAATAAGTTTTAAACGGAGATTTCGGTCTTAGAAACCTACGGTAATTAAATATTAATATCATCTCATAAGCAATTAGGTGACACGTTTTAACTATTAGACACATAAAATATTCTATAACTAGCCACGTTTCCCTACAGCTGCATTTGTAGCTAAGTTAATATTGTTGTAAACGACTTGGACAGAATTCACCTATATAACTGCATACATCTTACTAATATATTATAAATTGCAATGGTTAGATGTATGTTTGTTTGTAGTTATCTCCAGAACGGCTGAACGGATCTTGAAGAAATTTGGCATACATATAGAACATAGTCTAGAAGAACATATAGGCTACTTAATAGTTTTTTTTTTTAATTCCGCGCGGACAGAGTTGCGGGCGACCGCTAATATAAATATAAATATACCAAAGCACTTCGGTGACATGCTAATATTTCGTTCATAAAAGTTGAAACCTTAGCTATGGAATCTCAAATGCAACTAACATCAATGAAACTAAAATGATACACTGACACCGGATGTTAAGATTATTGAATTTGACAATCAAGTACTTTTAAGCATCTAGCTTATATAGAATTAAGATTTGTACTGGCATTTTTTTATATAAAAAGCTTACTTATCTTCAAATTGAAAGTAAATATTTATCAATAAAGTACCTTGAATTACTCGGGAATCGAATCTACGAACGAATTTATTAATGCTTTCACTCTTCAAACTCATGTTAACAACTGGGATATCCAAATCAATCTGAACTTTTACTAATACTGATATATTATACTGAGACTAATTTAGATGAAATTAAAAAAAAAACTTTTTTTAAATAAATTAGTATACGTACCATTTGAAAAACTATAAAGATAATTCGTGACGGTAGAATTATAAATGCGTGTTATAAAAGTATCTAGCCCTGTTACTATTATGTAAGGTAGGTTTATATTTTTAAGATATTCGTACATCATGAAGTTGCATTTCGCAAACAATATCATCACTTCAAGAAAAAATACATCAATACGCAACTAGTTAAAATGCAACAAGTTAGTGAACGCGAGTTCCTACGAAGGATTGTCGAGCACTGCACTGTTCATAAAATATTGTTCAACAAATATAACTCATATTACTAGATGTAAGCACTTACATTCTTCAAGATCGAATTACTACGAATTGCTTATATTAGAGTTTTTTACTATGAAAGCTAACCGGATGTACCAGCGATTCATTAAGACTGTCAAAGTCATTTATTTGTTACTTAAATAATTATACATTTCCCTTTCCTTAGTGACCATCACTTATGAGTGCAAGTTGAGTGCAGGATGAGTGCACGACGTTTGTCTGCGCGTGGTCGACGCCGAGGTATCATTTGGAGACAGCAAAAGCCATTCATACTACGCAAATATCAACCCATCCAAAGAAAAAAGTTGTATTTCTTAAAGTGACAGAGAGATGTAACTCTTTTCCTCAGATGAGAAGATATGGCATTCTCGCAAAGCGTTAATCGCGTCGCATCGCGTCGCATTGCCGCACTTGTCACTCACCTAGAACAAGAGGATATTTGTTTACACAAAAATCAAGTCACCAATAAATTGTATGAAATAAAAAGATATCTCAGAGATGTAACTATTAGTCGGATGGGTCGTAAGGCATTTTCGCGTACCGTCAAATCGCATCGCGTCGCGTCGCATTGCTGCGTTTGTCGCACACCTAGAACAATAAGGAAGAGCCAATTATATGAAAAAACAAAAACCTAATCAACGTAATATTTACTTATCAGAATATTTTTAGTGTAATTTATAATAATCAAATGCATTATATTTAATTGTAACATTATACGCCTGTTAATTTATTTTCACGCTAAAATATTATTTACTTTAAACTGATATTAAATATTTTGTTCCATTAATACATGAATTAGTATTTTGGCTTAACGTTATATGAAAATTTAAATTTCGGAGAACTGATTTGTGATTTGAGTAACTTGATTAATATAATTAATACTGTTATATTTTATTTACAGTTACTGCATTCAGCTAACAACATTTGTGTATGGAAGGGATAAAAACTTTAATTAAGTAAGAAAATCTATCTATAACTAGCTGTAGCCCGCTACTCCGTTTGCGAATTGAAAAATAGATAGTAGCTGAATCTGAAACCTTTTTTTTATACCATAATGTGACAAACGAGCGAGCGGCCACCTGATATCGCTGAAATAGCGAAGTGACTGTTGACCATAGACATACGCAATTGCATATGCGTTGCCTACCTTTAATCGACGGAGGAGATCATGCACTGAAAGAAAATATTTTCCCTTTCCGTGCATCCTCTCATCCAAAAAGTCCACTTCCACTTCCCATCCTTTCCTTATAAGAAATAGGGTTGGAAGGGAAAGAGGACTAAATTAGGCCTCTGGAACGCACACTCATCAGACGAAACGCGGAATTGCTTCCACTTGACGCCTGTCTTCTGTGTGGTCGTGGTATTTCACCGTGCGAGCCGGACCAATTCGTGCGAAGATGTTAAAGCGAGCTCTACTACTGTTAAGACCTACTGAATATGGATATAAAATATCATAAAAATCGTTAAAGCCGTTTCGCAGGAATGTCGTAACAAACATTGTGACAAGAGAATTTTATATATAAGATTATCAATAGATAAAAGCTTGTTATACAAGACGATAGTGAAGACGCGAGAAAGGTATTATTACCTAATATAATAGCTGAAGCTTAAATAGAAATCTAGAACATCTGTTCACTAACTACTACTACTGCTAATACTAATCATTTCATTCTTAAGCCTTTTTATCATCAACTAAAAATAAATAAGAAAGCGTTAAATCTTTAAAATGTTGAACGATTAAATAGATGCGAAAATCCAATTGAAAATACTTCTAAAATTCTCTAAGAATCTTAGTAACGTTTTACAGAAAATGTGAAGATTTAGTTCAACTCGTCTCGTGATATTGTGAACGTCTCATTGACAATTTTACGTAACGTCCTACTTTTAACTTGAGAATATTTAAAGCTCAATTCTAATCTAATAGTAAACAAATTTATTTACAAATAATGGTATAAAATTTCCAATTTAAATTTAAATTAAAGAGATACTATTATTTAAAAAAAAACAATTTGTGGATTTCTTAGTCATCATTAAAATAGTGCACAAATAACGCAGATGTAGAGTAATAAAATAAGAGCAGTGCGTCGTACTTGATCCTTAGTCATACGTAAGAAGTACTTTCAATAGTCATAATGATATTAATTGTAAATAATTATTTATTGTTTATAATAACTCTACAAGTGGAAATTATAGTGAAGACCTTGGTATTGTTCAACGATACACGCTATTAAGGAGTATACCCATTGTCGTCATTAATAAAACTTAAAAAAAAAATAGCAAGATGTAACTAATTCATCATCAGCTCACTATACCTCGGCTCGGAACCTACCCTAAGTTAGGGGTGACTAGGCCATAGCCAACCACGCTGGTCCAGTGCGGGTTGGTTGACTTCACACATATCTTTGAATTTTTTCGCAGATATGTACAGGTTGCATCACGATGTTTTTCTTCACCGTAATAACGTCGGATAAATGTACGTACGTAATACGGAAATCGAAAAATAACATTGGTACATGGCGGGATTCGAACCGGGACCTACAGATTACGAGTCAAGTGTTGAACCCCTTGAGCCACCGCTCTCTTTTTTACTAGTGTATACTAATTGCGACAAACTTATCGATAAGAGAGACGGTGCTATCTCTATTAGAAAAGTACATAAAAAACACGTCAAGACACCTACAATACGACAAGGAGCTTTTGGCGTTTTTTGACTTTGCCATGGGGACGCAAGTGAGCTGTTATAATTTAGTTTTACTTGCTCATTAAGTCATAAATATATCGATATATAGAAGTTATGTAAACAAATTTGCATTGTTGTAATTTTTTACAAAACCATATTCTCAACCCTTTCATTTTAGTTGAAAAATAAGAGACACGTGTCCCGGTTGCATTAAAAATTACCACAGAGATAAAACTCCCGTAATTATTAAGGTATATTTTCTGTGTTAATATTTGATAGTCCATTAAAATGAATTAAGACTGCGATAAATATACCTAACAGAAATATTTCATCGTTCCTTTTTCAAACGTTGTATGGGTTCATTAAAAATTTCCATCTCTTAAATCAATTTATCATTTCTTAAGAAATATCTACAGTTATCAATGATTTTACAAATCTTGCTGGAAAACCTCGGCATTGCGTGAATATGGTATTGTTCTACGAGCGTTTATTAAGGAGCATACACATGTGTAATAAAATTAATATCGAATTATAATCCTAGTACTATTACAGTATGCATGTACAGTATGTTTCAATTTGTACTCTATAAATGTTTGACATACTAAACTAATGTAAAAATCATTAATAAACCAAATTTTACCATACATTAGACTACATTACATGATTTAAATAAATTCCAGCTTGATACTTCACGTGTTTTTAAGAAAAAGAGTCTTGGCAGACAGACGGACAACAAAGTGATCCTATAAGGGTTCCGTTTTTTTTCCTATGAGGTACGGAACACTAAAAACAGGAAAAGAAGGCAGTCGGTATTAACATAAGACTTTAATGTAACGAGTAAATGAATCCTAATGCCAAAAAATCCTTCCTTTGCTTCTTAGAATCTAAAAGAAAAATTCACTCAGCAAAGATGTGTACTTTAAAAATCTTAAACAGTTAAGTTACAATCGAAGATCTCGCTATACATTTCTTAGGACGGATTTAAACCGATGGGAGCACGTTCCAGACGATTTCAAAAGTGGTTAAACTTTATACAAATATAACAAATCTGAGGAAGGTATATTTGAACGAGCTAATCTGAAATTATCAAGGGGATTTCATAAATTCTTTTTTATATTAACAACTAAATTATTAAAGGAAGATATAGGCTATTTATTATCACGCTACGACTCTCAGAAGTTTAGCACAAACGAAAATTCAGTTAAGCGCAAAAAAATAAATTCAAAATATTTCCCTGGAACGAAAGGATTTTTATGCTTGTATTTAACGAACTATCTGACCGATTAAAAAAATCATAATTACAATGTTAAATCCTTGTTAACAGAGTTTACTTATTTATTAAAAGTAAAAAAAAAATGTCCTTCCATGTAGATGTCTCGGCAGTGAAACCCCACCTTAACTATTTTCCCAAAATCCGTCACCCAGAAAAAGAAAATGGATGAAACGCCTGTAATGCGCTTTAATACACTATTTAAAATCGTTCAAACGACCTGTTGCTCGCATTTTAAAAGGTTACACTAGTATTTTGTGGCTTTAAATCGAACCCAAAACTGGATGGCACTTATACCAAAAGCCATGTAATGTTTCTTAAATTGCTTAAAATCAAGCGATATGCAGTATAGTGAATAGTAGTTTCGCGTGAAAATCTATCAAAGACAAGAACCAATTATTATATTATAAAATAAGATATTTATTTTTTGTGATTATTACTTAGAAAATGAATTTTAGTTAATTTAATAGATAATTTACTTTAATAGCTTATACTTCTCTTCTTACATTCAAAATAATTTTGAATAGAAAATAATAAGCACTCCTATTCTAGAAAACTAGGAATAGTCACTTTTAAAAGTAATAATTATTGAAAAATAATCTTTTGTATGGGCAATAAAATTTCGAAAATACTTTTTAAACTTCTGTTTATACTATTACTTACCCACTTTTTATGATTTGACTGTGGTGGTTAATATATTCCGCTTCTTATCTTCCTGAGATTCAGCATCCAGTAATTACGGCCAAGTTATGAATTTTTCGAACATGTTAAATTTATTCAACACTTAATTTTTCTTTTAATCACAATGTCTCAAATTTTAAACGAACTTTACAAATTATAAACAAAACAAATATTATTTCCAATAAGTAGAACGTTTCGTAAATGTTTTTAATTATGTATTATTGTTTTTAAAAATATTTTGGTGTCTAAGCACGTTGGGCGGGCGTCAGTTTTCGCGTATCGCGGTTTACAGACAGAGCATCCCGTAATACGAGTGACGTGTGTCGCGGCCGAGCTGTGGACTGAGTGGTTGCACACCGTGCCCGAGCATGCCACTCGCTTCGGCCCAACGTAAGCTCGTCGCTGCCGCGTAAGCGACGTACGCACTACGTCAACCGGCGCTATATTGCCTCTTTGCACAATTTATTATTAAGAAAAAGGGTATACACGCGTTAGGAAACTTCGCTGCACGCACCTAGTCAAGGTCCTTTCTCTCGTTAGATGTTTAAAATTAGGGTAATCGTGATGAAATTTCCTTATGAAAATAGAACATTCAAATGTTCAAGAAAACGTAACTGTGAATATCAAACGAGTGGGGAAGCACGTGGCGCCATTGGCTGATCTTAACCGCTTAAAGCCAATGGCGCGCGTAGGAGGAGTCGCATCGTAATCACTATGAAATTTAGCAAGACAGGTCCCGTCTTTTATTCTTCCACGTCATCTTACAAGAATAGGGTTCGCTACGGAAGTCAATGTTGCCCTCAGGCGGGCCACCCAATCGCATTTCCCGAAACATTCTGGTATACCTAAAACACAATGCCGATTGACACAGCAATGATCACATCCTAAAAATTCCAAATTTCAATAAATTCACATATAAAAAAAACATGTATAATAACAAAATTAAGCATAGAAAGAAAACTTTATTGGAGAATTTAATTTTAGGTTAAATTACTAGGTTATAAGACAAAAAATGTACTTTTAAAAACAGACAAATTATTTAATTAAATTACCCTATTCCTTAATAATAAACATTTATAATCCTGATATATAGTTCAAAATTACTTATCATATAAATAATATTCAATTTTAAACACATACTACAATAGGAAAACATACAGAGCAAAGAATCGAACTGAACAAAACCTAACCTAGCCACTGAACTTCAGTGTATTTTTTGTTTATTTTTTTAATTAATTAAACCACTATAATATTGCTTTATACGTAAGTTATTTTATAAACTAAGAGAACATCGAACTGCATTAACGCCAGCCCTGACATTGTAACCGGTTATTTAATATTGCAATGTTATTAGGTTGATTATAAAAGCTGTTTTCCTCCGGATGTTTTTTCTACGGTTGCACAGTGAAACACCTAATGTTGCAATTAACAATGTACTATTACAATCGAATTAATAGCTAACGAATTAAAAAATAAACTACATGAAAAAAATATTATAATTGCTCTAGGGCTGACAAGAAATTGTTTTTATTTTGAGAAAAAGATACACATGTGACATTAATAATCATTTTTTACTTCTTTCCCGACAAATAGGAAGGTAATGTGTGCGTGCACATATATTATAACACATAATATTATGTTTGATTGTGATCGCCTGTAGCCTAAACGCCTTGGCTGAATTTAAAGTCTGATATATCATTGTATACGAATTCTTTGGGAGCGTCGATGGTTCAGGGGTTAAGCAATTCACTTTTAATCTACAGGTTCTCGGTTCGAATCCCGCCATGTACCCCCTGACTTAGGGTAGGCTCCAAGCCCCTCTGTGGGGACGTTGATGATGATGAAATTCAGTATTGACAATTGCTACATTTCTTAGAGTTTGGTTTACTAATTTTCCCGGACCTCTATCCATGGACTGGCTATAAGATGTTGTGTTTTGTGTCTATTTGATTTTCGCCATTATGGCACTAATAGTCATTTGTAGCGGTGGTGTGGATTCAAATTAATAATATAGATAGAATTAACAATATTGTATCATCAAGAGGCACTTCCAAGTAATCGTATACACAATTATAGAGATTAGTGCTAATTTATGAATTTACAAACAGGTCAATAATGTATTCACAAACTCCTTTTGCTTACCATGTTCATCCTACTTACATGGTTCATCCATCGCTTATTAATTCATAAACACATAATACAGTGTAGCGGTTACAACTGTGGTCCAGATGTGGTACAAGCCTTACTAAATATTAAAAATACGAGAGTAACTCTGTCTGTCTGTGTGTTGCGCTTCCACGCCAATACTACTGAACTGATTTTAATAAAATTTTATACACTAAAACACTAGAGCCCGGGGAATGACATAGGTTACTTTTTAATGCAAAAAAGTAACCCTTATATGTTGTGCTGTAATTTTTTTTAATTTTAAGTAAAATAATTAATCTAATAATTAAAATGATACCGAAACCATAAAATTACACGGAATAAAAAAAATAGGAGTGTATTTGTTTTTCCAGATTATGTTCTATACCAAATTTTAGCGATATCCATGCAGCTGTTCTGGATATACCTTCTAACAAACATCTATCCATCCATCCAAACATTCGCATTAATAATATTAGTAAGACTAGGGCAGTACAAAAAGCGCCGTTCGCAGTACGCTGTGCGCACTAACCCGAGCGCTAAAACAGTCGGTAATGAACTTAGCACCCACAGTGTAGCCTCCGGACGGCAGCTCTGTTCAAAAAGTTTTCTTGATCAGACTATGCGAATCGGAGTTACAAAAACACAGTACAACAGAGACCATTAGCGCCATCTATTATTACTAAAACAAACATTATGTTTACAACACATATCTTCACATATAATTTTAGTTTAAATCCTATTCAAAACAACATTTAATCAAATTATATAGACCGGGAAACTAAACTAAAAAGTTGTTTTATTTGTTAGGATAATTAACACTACTAGCGCCATCTATTAACAAAAGATAGTATCAATTGCCAAAAGATTAAATATCGATTTCTCGAAAATAAGCAAACAATTTTATCAAAATGCAAATGTTGTGCAAATTTAACAAATTGCAAGTTAACGAGTCTATGATTTAGATATATTAAAGGTAACACATGCATAATACTAATGCAAGGTCATCGCCAACATAATCTTGAGTTGTATTAAATATTCTTTTTTGTATTTCAAAGGAAACGCTTTCAAACTTGAAGTCCTATTTTACATGTAAAACTGACTGAGTATATGGATTTATAGGGATTATAGGCATCTATACAACTTTTTCAATGTCTATCAATTTTTCGATTCTCTATCAACTAGTCCCCCCTACCCTTCTTGACGACGCCCATGGCACAATGCAAGTGAACAATGTAGCGCCAATATCCATTTACTGCCGTACCAGGAATTATCCCACTAATATGTATACCGGCTCAAGTTTCAATTAGGGAAATCAATATACGCTGATCGTTTTAAGCGTAAATGAAAGATCTTATATCACATCACAACTATAGTTAATAATTGAACTGATTTTTCTTAATTTATTTTAAAGCGTCACTAATATTTTTTGGATTTATAAATATAGTAAATGAACGCATGTTATGATTTGGACCAGTAAAATTAAAAACTAGGATTTTGCTGAAAATTTTAATTTATTAATAACCAGCTTTTTACCGCGACTATATGTCCGCGCGAAATTAAAAAAAAAATACGTAGCCCATGTGTTGCTCCAGACTATGCCACGTTTACGTATGTGCCAAATGTCATCAAGATCCGTTGAGCCGTTCTGGAGATACCTTCTAACAAACATCCAAATTAAAATATTATTATTACTAAACACGAAACCTTCAAAATACATTGACCTCATCGGATCGGTAAAAAATAATTATACCTATACTTTATTTCCATTCCGTATAGCCTTTGTGTCTTGTTACACAGAATCATAATAAAAAATAAAAAGTGCAAGTTTTTGTTTTGTTTCGATTCATTTGGTATTCGGGTGTAACTCATTCCCATTCTAAGAGTATTAGTGTTTGCATGTATTTTACGTTATCTTATCGTTGTTATATCAACTTTTGTGTTAACATTTAAAAAGCTGAAGAATAAACTAGTAGGAGGCTCTTGTTGCCCTATTTCCATGACAAGCGGGTATTTTGCATCAAAATTTTAAGTGTGCTTTCATCCCACCAATGCGAGGCCTCTTTTCAATTGCGAGAAAACTTGTAAGTAAAAACCCCATTTGAAATTTGAATGTACACTTGGAAATTACAGTCTAGCACATTAGTCGTGAAGGTTTTTGCGACCTATATTAGCTTTAAGTCTGCATTCTCAGTTCCTAATTGTACCTCGTGGCGCTAGCTTCGTTCATATTATACAAATACAATTTATTATAATTTACAAATACCATATAAAATATTGTGACTTTTTATATATCCTTAATATTAAATTAAGGCTTACATTATTTAAAAAAAAAACGTTTGGGTTGTAAAAAGCTATAACGGTCTTTGTAAAAGCAAGCGGCCATTAAATGATTTGCTCAAATGAGCGAGGTTAGGGATGGGCCTTAGACAGTGTTGTCGTCAACGAAAGGAAACGTTATTTCCTTTTTCTCAAATTGGCAATTAAATAGTTGATTTTCTCGATTAGTTAATCATACATTCTAAGAAGAAAAACTAGAGGACTGTTGACGAAAAAGAAAAGACAACCTGTAAAACAAGTATGATAATATAATAACTCCTATGTAGCATTTAACTAGTTGGACGAAAAACCGTCAACCGGTTGAAACAACATTGAATCAACCAAATCGGACATCTCTAGTACTGTTGCTAAACATTGGCACTGGTCAATACTTCATTTTAGTTTGCTTCTTCCTAGAAAACGTTTATTTTTAATTCGCTCCTTAGACTTGAGAAAACGGTATAATTTTTTTTAAATCAATAATAGAAGGGCGTTTTGTTTCCAAATCTTAATCTTTATTATCGAAGATAGTAGTTATCATATTATATTATTTATCGCGATATTTTCTCTATTTTGCATTATATTGCTGTGCAGTTTAAGTTAATAAAAATTTAAACAGTGGCTCGTGGTTCTCAAACTGTTATGTTAATATCCTCATAGTTTAAAAGGTATTTCTTTTTAATACTACTTGTGTGCTTAAATTATTTGATTTACTCAGTTGATGAAATATTTCCATATTGAAATTTTCGCGAGAACCTTGTTAAAACATGAATTATTGGTTAGGTTACGTGTTCGTCGTTTAAATCGATTTGATACAAATACTTTATATAATTACATATACCAGGAACTATGTAATATTATAATTCCTTAACCCATTAGAGTTATATTATCATTAATTGTTTCTTTTTTTATTAAAAATCATAATTTATCTAAATATGATTTTATTATCAACCAGATTATTTTTAAAACCAATGCTTACCAATCCTTTTTATGCTTAATTGTTTTACCTTTAATAATGTTTAGTTGTTTATATAGTATGTTACAAAATCGTCTAGTGAGTAGTAAGCAAGTATGTTGACTTTATTATATACCATTTGCAGGTGCAGGCAATATTAAAAACATGAAGGTTGATAAAAAATTGTTGCCTGTAAAAGGACATTACTTTCTTTTTAATGCTGGTGAGTGAGATTTATTAAACATTATTGAAAATTAATTTATTATTTCAAGTTCTTATAATACACATTTTATCTAGTAGGTTTTACGGTTATATCTTATCAGAGTTCAAGCTTATTCAATATAATAGCAGGCAGCAGCAGCAGGCTTATTCAATATAATAAAATATATGGTCAACCATGATCCCAACTGAAGTTAGGTGATGATGTGGTTGAAAGACTCTTTAACTTAGTAGATGTCTATTCACTCTACTCTTGAAGGCCATGTCATGCTCGGATGGAAAGACTTTCGACTCTCATTTCGCCTGAGTAACAATGTCCTTGCCATTTTCTATAGAAAAAAAACAATATTGTTATACATATGTTAAGATAGTTGTAATTCAAACTTACAACATACTCATGTGTTTATTACATAATTTAAATATTAACTTATGTTTTTTTAGGAACTGCTCCCCTCGTACCATATCTATCAACATATGCTCGCCAGTTGGGATTTTCCTCAGCAACAGTTGGTTTAATTTATACAGTCTTACCAATATTTGGTTTAGTGGCAAAACCTTTGTTTGGAATAATAGCAGACAGGTATGTAATTATGTAAATTGTTTAAAAAAAATAACATTGATAAGTTTGAATTAATATATGAAAGTATTAAACTGAATTTAAAGCTAATAGCGAGCAACAATCTTTAATAGGATTGAAATAAAGAAGAGCTGAATTGGTGTTAAGAATAAAAATATTACATAACACTTTATTATCTGTTTTTAACATCATCTTTATCTTAATATTGGGTGTATTAAATATCTTTATATGAATACAGTATGCCTATTGTATTACATACAAGATCCTTGGTTCATGATTTTGAGCTATTCTAATAACTCAACAATTTTATTCAGTTTTATTTGATTAAATCACATATTTCGGCAGTAGTTGTGCCGAACAACATTATTGATATGTATCATATTCAAAACATATTTAGAACAATAAAATAATTAATTTGACAAAGAATGCTAATTAGATTTGCAACTATTTTTGACCAAATGTCTAATTGTGGTATGTACGCAATTTCAAACATGCATCTCTGGTATGCTACACGAAAAACGAGTTTGTACAAAACATTATAATGCAAATTACATTTTTTTTGTTTTCATATGATTCATGGAAATTAATCCTTTGAGTATTGCTTTGGCTTATTTTGATTCAATATGAAATAACATGTATGGTCTGACATTGTAACAAAAACAAAAAATATATGACTAAAGAACAGAACAACATAAAAAAACAACTTAGATTAAAGAAAAGAAGAAAAAAAATTTGGAATGCTTTCAAAGATAAAAGTATAGCTATTCTATGAAAATATAGTAATAAATATACGTTATATTTAACAACTAAGCATTCACAATTCGACCTTACTCACACGGTTGTATATTCCTGACCCGTGACTTGGGTTCGCTACTAAGGTTGATATATGATAACTAATACATTGCTGAATTAGTAAACAATTCATACTTAGTTTCTGCTTGGTTACTCACAGATTATTAATTATGAATTAAATAAGTTAATTACAATTAACAACTTGTAATTTAAATTTATATTGACTGAGATACATAAATATTAAAAATGATGAAATTTGATTAGAGGTTAAGTGATATAGGTCAATGATATAGAGTTAACAAAGGTCATATTGTTCCATATAAAATTAAATTAAATTTTTGCAATTAAACAATTCTTGTAATAAAAATAAATGAATACTTTCACTTTGTTGAATGTTATGTTTCTAAACGTTGATCTGTCAAACTGACCTGAGGAGAAACCTGCAATAGGGAGACCCTTAGTTTTTTCTTACTACACATACTTCTTTCTTACAATTATTCCCTTTTAATATAATGATCTAAGGGATCTATAAAAGTAGATTATTGTTAGCGTCATTTTATGTAAAAATGAAAAAATAAAATGATAAAAGATATAAAATGATAATTCAGTTTAACTTAATCCACATTCAAAGTTTATCTAGCTGCAATTAAGATAAGTTCCTTAATATAACTCTATTTCTTTGAGATAATGAATAGCAACTGTTTTAATATTATGTTGCTATCCGCTTTATTATATGTTTAAAATGTTCGTAAAATTGCATTCTTACATAATGCAACTTAAAAAAATATATTTTCATTATAACAATGTAATTATTATTCATTAATATATCACTAATTATCTCTACAAGTTGTATAAACGAATTGTCAATGAAAACACACAATTTTATAGTGTTACATCTTTTGTTACAGATTTAAAAGACAAAAATTAATATTTCTTATATTCCAAATTGTGACAATAGTTAGTTTTTCTGCTATATATACGATACCCGGTGACACAGAGAACATTCCTTCTGTACAATTGGAGTGTGGCAATGGTGCATCATTTCTTCGCAGTTGCTATCAAGATGCAAATTCAATTAATCAGTGTAGTAAAAACTCTTTAGGAAATCTTACTGGTATCTCAAAATGTAATGTAAGTATATTTTTATTTCAAGTAATCCAGTTTATCGTCTGGTAATATAACGGTTTAACTCATGACTAGCTGTCGCCCGCGACTATTTCCGTACGGAATTAAAAAAGAAAACAATTAGTGTGTGGAGAACACATAAGCTACTAATTAAGTTTTTTGACTATGTTCTACATCTATGCCAAATATCAGCTACATCTATGCAGCCATTCTAGAGATATCTTCTATCCAAACATTCTAATTTACAATATTAGTAAGATTAAACTATTTTTTATTGTTTTTACAGATGAACTGTGAAATGAACTCTCCCAAAATGTGGCAAACTGTTTGTGAACATTGGCATATGCCTCAATATTGTTACAGTGAAACGGACTTAATAGAATACACAGCACACATTAATAACGCTGATATAAGAGATGATCAATGTTTGTATTTAAATGCAGATGCAGTAAAATTAGATGGTTAGTATATCATGATTTAATCGAGATTAACGGAAAATGTCTACCTTAAATATGTATGAAATCCAATATGACTGAATCTATAGATGGATGCTATATTGACTGATTTATTGGTACTTACAAAAAACTTCATTAGTAACCTATGATATCCCATGAGCCGTTAAACATTAAGTCAAAACCTATAGGTTTATAAAACCTTATGCGCCAACCCGTGAGTGGGATAAGGCCACTGTGATGTTGGTAAGATCTGATGAGCAATTCTGCAGATATTTTCTAACAAACATCCATCTATTCATCCATATCCAGATATTCGAATTTATAAGATTAGTTATGAAATTTAATATTTATTTAAGTGCTTTGAATTTATTATTTTAGGATACCCTTATACACCACATTGCCACATTGGTGATGGCTACCGTGATCTAAATCAATCTTGTGCTATGAGTTGTACCAACCCAAAGCTGTCAACGGCGATAGGCAGTACAAAACCAATAATGACTTGCTCAAATAAATTGCTCAATTTCCGACTATGCTCAAACAATTCAAATGCTCTCAAAGAAGCCATTAACACAACTAATGATGAATGCCAGGTATTTTATTCAAATTACCTATATAAAAATGTATGAAATTATTTAAATTGTCAAAGATGTACTCAGATCTGGGATTTTTAATAGTAATAATGCAGTATTAAAGTAATTTAGTCATATTAATCATATTTATTTTTTTAATTGAATAATATTTCAGGTTTCTTGTGACTTAGATAAAACAGCTCCTTGGCGTCTTATGGAGATTTGTGAAGCTTGGCAAGCGGATGAAGCTAAAACTTGCCGTCCAAAGACCAGAGTTGGGACTGAATTTCCTAAAAATCTTTCATTTGTTGGCAGTGCACTGCTTTCTACAGTAATTACTGAAGGGGAATGTTCATTTGTTCAGCTTAATCATATTAAACTGCCTGATGGTATGAATGATTTTTTTTAAATACACATATGACGTTTAGCAGATGCTTAATAGGCTAAAATGATGGAAGTTTTCATCTTGAGATGATCTAAGGATCATCACCTATTAATCGGCTCAAGAGGAAAAATTTCACAAACACATGAACATTACATCAGTTGTGGTGACCATAACACCAAAAGTCTTAGCTGAATGTGACAGACATAACTGGGTATAAATTATAAAGTCCAAATGACCTCAATATTTTTCTCGCTTATAGTGTTCTCTCTAACTTGAGCTTGGTCCATTAGAACTGGATAATGACTTAGAGGTTTTTCGCTTATCCAGATTTTACTGTATTATAACTTAATATTGACAGTAAATTTTTGACATACATGGGTTAATTTTTGCACATTATTTTTTAGGTTCCATTCACTATCCAAACTGTATGAAAGAAGCTGCATTTGAAACTAGAAAAGATGTATTCTATCCAAGCTGTAACATAAAATGTGACAATGCGGCTGTAAGTATACCGATCTTACTTCTTACTAATATTATAAATGCGAATGTTTGGATGGATGAATTTTTGAAGGTATCTCGAGTATGGCTGTATGGATCTTGCTGAAATTTGGCACAGATGTCAAATATAGTATGGAAGAACACATAGGCTACTTTTTTTTTAATTTAGCGTGCACGGAGTCGCGGGCGACCGCTAGTACTAAAATAATTTGCGCAGATACGCTTAGCAATGGCTATCTTAGAGACTATACAGATAAGATTTTGATGACAATGGTAGCGGTTGATACTTTATGGATCTAATTTATGACTTTAAATGGTTACATAACATAGAACAATATAAGTCAGACTATAACCAATATATAAATAGTATGTATTGCACTGTAAATAATGAAAAAATTGTATTTGTATATGCAAACTAGCTGCCGCAGGCGACTGCGTCCGCGCAGAAATAAAAAAAATAATTAGTAGTCTATGTGTTCTTCGAGACAATGTTCTCCATTTATGCCGAATGTCAGCAAGATCCCATGCAGCCCTTCTGGAAATATCTTCTGACATTTGTTGGATGTTTATACATCCATCCAAACATTCGCATTTATGTTATTAGTAAGATAAATAAATATATTTTATTTTTCTTTTACAGATAAATGAATGGTTTCAATCAGCAACAGACAGTCGTAATAATTCAACACAATATACGAGACAGTTTTGGCTTTTTTTCCTCTTGATGATAATAAGTTGGATCGGTCAAGCTGTTGTGGTGACTTTTGCAGATGCTATCTGTTTTAATGTTTTAGGTAAGAACGTTATATATATTTTATTTAGTATTCTTTTACATAATTCTCTAATATTTCAAATACAGTAACATAGCTAGTTGTTTAAATATTATAAACTAGCTGTCGCCTGGGACTGCATCTGCTTAGAGCTAAAAAAAAGTAGTTAGTAGTCTATGTGTTCTTCCTGACTATGTTTTACATCTGTGCCAAATTTTCATCTAGATCCATTGACCTGTTCTGGAGATACCTTCTAGCAAATTCCATCCATCCATCCATCTAAACATTCTCATTTATAATATTTAGCTTTATAATATTTAGTTTTTTTAGTCTTAATGAATTTCCACTTGTTAATGTAGTAATTTTGTATAATAAATTTCAGGACCACGAGTTGCTTTGTATGGTAAACAAAGACTTTGGGGTTCCGTTGGCTGGGGTATATTTTCTTTGTTAACTGGTACATTAATTGATTTGTTCAGTGACGGTGCCTACAAAGATTACACGATCGCTTTTATACTTATGTTTGTATTTATGTGTGGAGATGTTATTGTTTCATGCTTTATTAGGGTGAGTTAATTAATTTTTATCTTACTTTAATGTTATACTAGGTTTTGACAGCTTCGTCTATGCAGTATTGAAAAAACTTTAGTAAATAGGTTATATGTTCTTCCAGCCTACATCTATGCTAAATTACATCGAGATCATTAAGTCTTTTTGGACATAAGTGACAACAACCATCCATATATACAGACTTGTTTTTATAATAAGCTGTCGCACGTGACTCCGTCCGCGCGGAGTTTAAAAATAATAAATAGCCTATGACATCCAGACTATGTTGTACATCTTTGCCATATTGTCAAGATCAGTTGAGCTGTTCTGGAGATACCTTGATACAAACATCTATACATACAAATTTTCTTTATTAATAGTATATATTTTTTTTTAATTTTAATTTTTGGTTTTCAGAGTGAATCAACAAAAATTTCAGTTAATATTTTAATAGATGTTGGTACTTTACTTTCCTCAATACCGACTCTTGTGTTTATGCTTTGGACAATATCTGTCGGGCTATGCACAGGTCTTCTCTGGCAATTCCTCTTCTGGCTTCTAGAAGATATTTACGGCTGTGATAATTCTGATTATGTTAAAACGCTACAAGGCTTGGTTAGTGCTATTCAGACGTTTGGTGGAGAAATACCCTTCATGTTTGCATCTGGTAAGTGATAAAAAATTTGTCAATTATTAATACATAGTCGAAAAAATCGAAAAAACTATGGATGATTAGTTTGATAATTCATTATTAAATGAATTTGTGATCATTATTTTTCAATTATAATATAAATAAAATTGTTTTTTTTTTCTTTTTCTACTTTATTCTTCATAATTACATAAAGAAGAAAATATTAAAATAAAAAATTGTGGTGTTAACAAACATAAAAAAAAACATTTTTTAGCTAATTATAGCCAAATAACTGTAATTAATTTTAAAAGTAATAAAACACTTAAATTACAGTACTTATTTGTTCGATTAATTTTATGACAAGATCTATACTCGATAGTTGACAGTTATGCGCGTACGGTCTGACACTATGACAACCATCCATAAAGTACAACATTAATTCTCATACAAAATTAATTCTATACTTTATAGGCGTCAATTGTCAAACTAATAAAATAGACAGACACATTTTAGTAATTTTTAATGTTTTTTTTTAATTTCCAGGTTATATACTTAAAAAGTTAGGTCATGTGAATATGATGAGTTTAGTGCTGTTTGCCTTTGGTATACGTTTCATTTTATATTCTCTTCTGACGAACGCATGGTGGGTGCTGCCGATAGAGATGTTTCAAGGTATTACATTCGGAATGTTTTACCCAACGATGGCTTCTTATGCCAATGTTGTGTCTCCACCAGGAACCGAAACAACTGTACAGGTAATTTACTTGACTTTATTTAAGCATAACCACAACATATATACAATTTATTAAATAGTATTAAATATTGATAAACATAATGTTTACAAAAATTTAGGTAGATGAAAGTTTTGGAAATTATTGTAAAACTAAAGGTCGCCTGCGACTCTGTCCGCGCGAAATTAAAAAAAAACTTAATTGTAATTGTAGACTATGTGTTATTCCAGACTATGTTCTATATGTATACCAAATTTCAGCGAGATAAATGCGTTCGGAGATACCTTCAAACAAATATCCAATCCATCTTAGTATTTGCATTTATAGTATTAGTAAGAATAGTTTTAAATCTTTTAAAGTTAAATAACTTTTTTTATAAAGATTTTTTTATGTTCATTTTACTATTACAATTATATCAACAAGTCTTAATTAAATATTACAAAGTATAGTTCTATTCAAATATCTTTATAGCTCAAGTAACTGCGCAATGCTCGCCATGCTTACACGTCACAAAACCACATTATTATTTAATACCAAGTATTAATAAGTAAAAAATTGTTTTCAGGGTCTCGTTGGGGCAGTTTTTGAAGGAGTTGGCACATCTCTTGGCAGTTTTATTGGTGGCAGATTGTACGAAACATATGGTGGTTCAAATACTTTCCTATGGTTTGGTATTGGGTCACTCATATGTTGCGCTATTCACATCTTTGTGCAGTACTTAATAAAGGATAAAGTTCGTAATGCTGAACTATCGAAAGGTAATGAACCAGTTGCTGCTGAATTGTAAATTAAGTTTTTATTTTGATAATGATATTTGTTATATAAAAGTATCATTTATCGTTTACTTAAATAATACGTACTTAGGGGTTAAAGGTAGACGGATTTTTCAAATTATTAATAAAAAAAAAATATTTTCTTTTTTAATATTCGACAATTAATGGCAAATTTTAATTTAATATTACATTTTTTTTATCGATTTAGCTTAGATTAAATTTCTTTGTTCTTGAACCTATTTGACAAAAAAAGACAGTTATCCATCCCACCAAAAAATTTTGTTCCCACTTAATTGTTATTGCATTTAGAAATAATACTAGATAATTTTACATTCCTTAAATTTCTTTCTAAACATTACTTAAAATTGTGCATTTTTTTTAAAATAAACTATTCTTAATATGTAAATATGTATAAAATTAATATATTATAAATAAAAATATTTTTGAAATAGTCACCTTACGATAAAAATTCACCGTCTACTTTACGATAAAAATTAATATAGCTACTTAATATAAAATTTAATTAAGAAAAAAATATATAATTTTGCGATCAAAAGTTAACTTTCTAAAAGCAACTATCATTTGTATTTATTCTTATTTATTACTATTTATTTCAATCTTTTCTATTTATTTATTTTATGTCTTGGTCTCTTCTTGTTTTAATAAGGTGTTATAAAAATTCTAATAGTTTGTAATAATATATAAGTATGTATAATGTTATTAAAACTTAATGACGGCTCGCTATTTCGCATGAGATACACAGAACATAGTTTTATTGGGTACCGACGACACATGAAGGAGGCGTAGACAGCCATGCGCTCGCATTCTTATGTGCGCAGTCCCACTCCTGCGCAATTAGACACTCGCCATAATCTACGAGCCGTTATAAAGTTTGAATATTATTATACATATTATTCTTATAGATAGTTGGTGTTTAATCATTCCATATGATAATTGACCAGACTAACCAGTAAGAACCACTGCCCAAATGTTTATTAAATTTGCTTATTAAAAAAATTTTATAAGCAAATTTAATAAATTACTTTGTAATTATAGGTAAAATTAGGTAGAAGGTATGAACAAATTAGTTGATATGTATTATATATTCTATAAAGTATTTACATAAGGGGACAGTTATATGATAATCACATTATTAACTATGTATTTAATTAAAACCTCTTTTTTTCAAGATATTTACTTAATTTGTATACAAAATTTGTTAAATAATTTACCACGTTCAAAGTATTTTCTCGAATCTAAAACAATCGATAGCTGTCCTTTTACAATATTGGCTGTGTTTTAATTTTCTTCGAATTTGATTTTTTTTGAATATCGTGTAAAGGTACATGTTCATTGGCCCGCGCTGAACGCACCGTACGCACTACGGACGGATTAAACGGATTTGCTAACATACGTTCACTGCACCAGGATTTTTTGTATACTTACTACTGTTTTCTTGTTGTGAGTTGAAGTATCCGGTCACGTACCTGCGGCTGTGGGCGATGTCAGCGGTTGATTTGTATGACGTCACCGGCACGCAACGCATTTTTTGTTTATAAATACCGTCTTTCGTATCGGTAGGCGCGGATAATGAACGAAGCGCTATGTAAAATCTAACAAAGCAAACTAAATTCCGTTTCCGAGCCGTGCGTGCGGTGCGTACGGTGCGTCCGGTTAGGGCTAATGGACACGTACCTTTACTGTTTGTATAAAATTCGCACATGTGAAGACTATTTATATTATTTAATTTTAATATTTATTATATCAAATTAAAAAACAAATTTATATACTTATTTTGTAGGTGTATTCTTAATATAATATGTATATTACAAAAAAAAAAACATTAGCGTATTACTAATATATCTAGACATTTTTCATTACGCCTGTACACTGTGATCTTTGAAACGATTATAGTTAAACTTGACACTTGCAATAAAGGTGAAAGTACTATGCATAACTTTCTCCATAACTCTACATTAGTACGGATTAGGGAGTTCAGCATAGAGATTGGACGCACAAGCCATCTCTATCTCATATTTTCTCTCTAGGCCATTTTTTATGTATATATTATTCAACTTTTTGCCCATTCATACAGTATTAAGACAAGTTCCTGTTTCCTTTTTTTCTCTCTCGCTCTATCTCTCACTCTCTGTATCGCTCTATGTCTCTCTCTTTCTCCGTTGCTTATGAGATCTTGAAAACAATGAAGAGGATTATTTATGAAAGAATCTGAATTCATTGTTATACGATTTCTTTATATAGATCTTTCCCTTGTATTATAAAGATTAATTTTTGACTGATTTTTTTTCAATTATTCTAGTATTATTTCCAATAATAAGTTATTTGAGATGCATTTATCTATGGTGCTTTTGTATCTCGAATTATCCTCGAAAAATATCTGTATTATAATACTATCAGTTTATGATGTAACTTAACATTATATTTATAAGATGAAATATATGATAACGTTCAAAATATGTTTCAAATATGTATATAGGAATGTCAAAATAATTAATTTATAAGAAAACTCTTTACATAGTTATTACAGAAACAAGCCATATTTGTAAAAAAAAAATATTATTTTATTTGTACAATATTTTAAAAATTTGGAATATGTTTCTTCTGTTTATTACATCCATTAAATGGTATTATTTTTAATAATTAGATTTCAGTAAATGTCAAAAACTAAAAAGGTTTTATATGAGATTATTAGTCCTGGGGGATGCATTTTTTAATTATAGTTGGGTTACTGGTTGTGATGATGTATTGAAAAATAAGTTTTCGAAAGATGTCTATACAATGTCCCAGAGGAGAAATTCTATTTGTAGTAGATTTATTAGACACGTGGAAAAAGTTCTGAAAAGCGCAACTATGATGACCATAAGATTTTGCAACCAGCATGCATTTATGACCATCATTACCAAATTTTTTTTATATCAAATCGACATCTATATTCTACATTAAATTCTAAATTGCCAAGTACTAGTGAAAGATGAGTGCTCGAACAAATTTGACTGGTAAATCTTTAGATGAATGTTAGAAAGAGATGGCTATCTAGACATGTATTAGTGGAAACGAGAAAGATAGAGAAGTACGAAAGTTTACGTAATTACTTTAAAAGACGAGATACGAATGCAATTTAATATTTCCGATTTTATTTATTTCTAAATTTCAAATGTAGACCAAACTTTTATATTGAACTTTTTTCATTTTATTATTGTGTAATGAAGTGTATATTTTGAAAAACTTTCAATTGTCATATTATTGTCATCGGCCATTTACTAATCATCCCTTTTTTTTAATTTAAGCTTTTTATTCATTGCAAAAACTTCGACTCCTTCGATTCGTTCATTTTTTGTTTTTATTTTTTTATGTTCAGTAATCTAATCCGATAAGATTATATACGGCCAGTTATTAATTACGAAATGCAAGATATTTCATTTTTGTCTGTGATTTTTTTAAACCTTATAAAGGTTTTGTTATCGCCCTTATATTGCTTATTGTTTTTATTATTTATATTATTCCTTTTCGACTGCTCAATAAATGACAGGTCTGTCGATTTAATTTGATTTTGACAGAAAAATCAATTAATTTGACATTATACGTTTTTTTTTTTATTCAACGTAATATGTTCCTATTATATCCAGTATTATGTTTATATTTAATGTACTTATTGAAAATAAACTATTAGGCAATAAAGCCTGTGTTTGATTTTTTTTTATCGATTACTATTTGTTTATTTAGGATGTCTGTATTGTTTGTTACAATGTTTGTATTAAAATTGTGCTTACGAAATTGTTAACGATATGTGATAAAATGAAAAATGTGTCCGCAGATTGTTATACGGGTGTGAAGAAGCAAGTATATTCCAAATTTTTATTTTATTGCTTGTATTGTATTTGCATGTCTGTACATCACAGAATACTTCCTTATCATTATGCATGTTTTTTTTGTTGCTGTTTGCATGTTATTAATTTTGTTGTTTTTTTTTTCTTACAGCTTACTCATCTATTATTCGTTATGAAAATTTATACGATCCAAACTGTATATTTCAAGAGATGACAGATTTCAACGCGGAACACTAAATAAGTTTTTTTTTGGTTATAGATATTTTTAGTAAAATCCTAAGAATTGTGCTGTAAATTGTTTAAGGTAGTTTTTAACTTGATATCAATTGTTGGGGGAAATGTTTATTAGCTTTTTTGTAGTTACAAACATTAAAACTAAATTATGACGACTTAAAGACAGCATTAAATAAAAAATATAAGCTCTTAATAAAGCAATAGGAGAGATTTTTAAGAAAAAATTTGGTTTAATCATTATTGTATATTTTTGTTTCGTAATTCTCTTTTTATTTTTAATAGTAAAATGTCTATGAACTGGAATAGTGATTTTTATAGAAATTCTACAAATTAGTTTTAGTAAATACAGATTTTCTATTTTCTTTGCTAACTTATTTACATACTTATAAATTTTAAGGTTCAAAATATAACTTTACAATAATATTGTAGATGGAATAGAAACTCAAAACGAAACTCTTGGTTGTTGTTTATACAGCATAAAATGATTTCAAATTAAATTTGTTATTTATCTTTTTATTTAAGAGTTATTTTTAGAATTTTGTATTTGTAGTTCCGAATAAGGACCTAATTTTTAAGTTTGTAGGCAGCTGTAGGTCTTTCCGTTTTATATTTTCACCAGAAAAGTTGTGTATAATATTTATTACATAAGTTAATGGGTTTCGACTGCTGTTACTTGTATTGACATATATTTTTTTGATTGATTTGGAACAGATTTACGTGTATTTTAATTATTGTGTGCAATGGTTTTTGACATAAGTTCTGGGTATTTAGTTATTAGTGTAATAGAATCTTTTGAATAGTTTTATGTATGAAATAAAAAACACCTTTGTTTTATTGTGTGTTTAAAATTTTCGTCAGATATTTTTGTCTTTTGAATGTTATGTATAAATACTGGATTCCACAACTATATATGATGGATGCATGATGGGCCGGGTCGACCAGTGAAATTATAGGAGTGAAGTGTTAGCAATTCTACGTTTTGTCTGATGAGTTTACGTGCCTGAGGCTTAATTTTTCACTACGTTCCCTGTCCACCATTTTCTTATAAGGAAATATAAGGAAGAGGAAATAAATTTGGCAATGAAGGGGATACATGGGAAGGCGAAATATTTTATTTCTGTGCATTAAAAGTAAAAAAAACATTGCAATCGCAGATGTCTATCGGAAGTGGTCGGTACGCCATTTAGGTGGACGCTTGCTCATTTGCCACCTTATATATTAAAAAAAACTAAGAACTGGACATGCTAAAAAAACTAACGAAGCTTATGAAATCATTAGATCATTAAAATGACAAATATAAAACAACTTACGAAAATTACCTGGGTATACGTATACATATGACAATTTATATTAAAAATGGCCCAAGACAAAAGTAAATAAATGAAATCAACGGATAAGTATCTAAATATAACAAACTGAACAAAGTCTTTCGAGATTATTAGTTGTACCTTTTTTTAGTCTATGTTGCTGCACATATAATTTTATATACTGTGGAAATACACTATTTGGCATTCATAATCTTTGACAGTTGCACATCAACTTCACCAAACTTCACATTAGATTACTTCAGATCGAACGCTAGAGCCAACCGCCACTGTTTTATTAAAATTAAGTGATTTATAAGTCTGACTCAACAATTACTTTGTCATTGAGTGTTCGGAATTAAAATTTATAAAAATATGGTCACAACGATATAATGTTTTTGTGTATATAGTGTCGTATCAAAATATAAGAGTTATTTGGAAATCTCCACGTTCGTCATGGGTTCCCGATTAAGGTAATTTTGTGTAGATTTAATTTATTTTACTACAAGAACGATATACTTTACTTTCGTTTTATAATATAATTAGGAATATAAGTACATAATGGAACTGCAATACATTGGATTGTTGTTATATACCTTGCCGTTTTTTGCTTCATCCGTAGCCACTGTACTTTCTTTTTGTGATATCATGTTTTTATTGTTATGATTTGTATTAGACTTTTACTCTTAGACGTATTATTTTCTAGTGTTCAATAACTTTTTCGTCTTAAGTATTTTTTACCTTTGTTATGATTCTAATTAATGAAAAGAAAATTTCGAAATACCCAATGAACATTTTTATTTGTAGCATTTCAAAGATAGTACCGTTTCCCGTTCGATTATCAAATTATTGTGCATGAACTCTGATTGTTTTCCTTTTATCTTTTTATGATGATAGTAGCTTCCTAAATATGGCTTTGTAATAAAAAGATATAAATTATTTGTATAGTTAGAACTAACTTGAATATATTTTAAGTAAATAAGACTTCCTCCTCATTACAACAGTAAGGCATTATGTTGTGAATGTTTAAAATAATATTTTTATGAAATAATCACATTTTATAAATGTTCTATTAATACTAATTTCAGAGACACGGTACAAGTTCTGTTTGAACTTTTCTGCGAAGTGTCACCCGGCGATAATGTAAAGGAACCTTATATACTGAGAAAATATCCTGAAACATATGGCAAAGACGAGGAGCTGAAGAATATCCCAAAGTTCACTTTTCCATGCAAAATTGATAAGTAAGTATTTGATATTCCATGTCTGTGACACTTTTACTGAAACATTTTAAGGTCTCTGTACTTTGAAAGAGAATGAGAGGGATAACAAAATTATTTTATTAAACTCGTTTATAAGTGGAAAAATAAAGGTTTTGTGTACTTTTGATATTGTTGCAAATTATTGTATTTGATCAATTGATGTTAAGTTTTATATTACAAAAAATTAAGCTTAAAAGTTTTGAAATGGTAATAACTGAGCAATGCAATCTTTGATTATATAAATATGCCCATCACATTATTTTATTAAATCATAGACAAATATGTATATGTTAATTGATAAGAATAACTTAATAAATTTATTATGAGTTTCTGAAACTAAAATCTGTATTTAAATCATATTGTTATCTCAGAAATATTGATAGGGATAAATATGTTGTAAACAGGGATTTCTGTCTCAGAAACCCACAGGTAATAACATATCTGTACTAAAACATTGTTGATATCAACCTCAATTTTAACTGTGCATCATAAAGTATGTAACGCACGCTCTGTTATTATATAACGTTCAATTGAAAAACGTTCTTTGTCGTCCAATTGAATGCGTTTGAGTACAGCATCTGTCTGACTACATTAAGAGGCAATTTTAAATTTGGAGGATATACATTTTGCAATCCGATTTTTTTTGTAATAATTGATATGTCTGTTACTAATTTCTTTACTCAAAGTCATTCAGAGGTTATTTAAACATTTATTGATTTTGCACCATACATTTAAATAATTATATATACCATAAACATAAATTTAAGGATCTCCCTTAGTGTTCATTTACTGAACTTCATTACGCCAGTAAATTCATGTTATAAATAATTTAATTACATTAGTATTTGTTTGCACAGCTCTTAATATGGAGTGTAAAAGGGTTAATAATTTTTATTGTGATTTTCATAATGAGTGACTGACTATAATAATTATTATGTTAGTCATTTGCATTCAATGTTAAATTAATTCCTTCACCTTGCTTACTATGTTTTACAATACAATAGTGTTTAAACCTTAAAGGACAATACTTGTTTTCTGAGTAAACTATAGATTGATTGCACTCATAAGATATTTAAAATTATAGCAATATCTCAACCTCACAGTTATTTTAAATGTAGGGTTCACAAAAAAATTAACATATTAATGCTAAGACATCAAAGAAATTATTTGTGTACTCTGTATGAAATTACAAATACACAGTCAATCCACTCCTTCATATTTTCTTCACTATATTGTTAAATGATTTAATGTTTACTAATGTTATAATATTATCCTTTTCAGTACGTACATTCAACATTATTCATTTGTGTTGACTTCTGTTGATTCAAAGTACACATTTTGTTTTTGCCGATACGACCCAAAAGTGAATACAGCGGTGGTGCTTCTTTCACATTTACCATGGCATGATATATTTTACAAGTAAGTATTATTTTTACCTATAATTCATAAGAGTTGGAAACTAGGTTAGAATTAAATTTGTTGTCAAAGATTATGTAAGAAATTGGCTTGTGTAGTGTTTTGTCTTTTTACACTGACAGTATTTTTTTTTAATTTAAAATTGTTTAATGTTAATTGGACTTAAATGCCAGCGTGACTTAATATTGCGCATTTAAAGTTTAGTTGTCCGCATATGCGAAAGTAATCTTCAAAATATCTCATTAAAAAATTAAGAATGTGCGCATACTTTATTTTTTTATGTTTATCTGTGGGATATCAGATTAATGATGGATTTATTTAATATTGACTATTGCCATAGATAAAGACATTAATTTTTTTTCCTTTAAAGTACGATTGATTTGCCATGCTAATAAATTGTTACTTTTGTTGCAAAGCAGTCGATATTTGCTGTATGCCTACGGCGCGGATTTTTTTATAATTGTTATGTGAAATTTTGCAGTTTTTACGACATGAAGTACATCATAAATTTATAAGTTTTTATAATTTCGATAATTTTATTAATTTTAACAAACATAAAATAGAGTAGTGAATTAAAAAGTTCTAATGTCTTGATGTTTTTATTGTTTTTTTTTTTAATTTGCTGTGCTGCTCCTGTTTCATTTTAATGTATTAAAAAATTACTTGCATATTTATGTTTTTGCAATGCATCGCAATGCTCAAATCAAAACCTTGACATAAATCTGTTAAAAATTATGTAATATTAAGTGTATATATTTTTTATTTTTCAGACTTTTTACTGTGTTCCTACTTCTCTTTATATATACTACCACAATTTTACCGAAATCTGTACAGTATTTTATATATGGGGCGATATGTACAAAAAATAATAACATTTTTTTTGATACAATTATTTTTATGATAATTTATACTAAGATATTTATATTTAATTTGCGAAAAATAACACGCCCTTAGAACAGACATAACTTGCAGACTTCGTTTTATTACAATTGTGCTATCACTCTTCTTCACACTTTTTATTCTACATCATTCTGTGGCAAACTTTAATTATATTATTATTTAATGATATTTGATTTGCATACATATTTATGCATTGGTTGTTGTATTAGAGGTCAAACACTTGACTTATAATATGTAGGTTCGTGGTTCAAATCCCACCATGTACTACAGTGTTTTTCGGTTTTCGTTCTTACGGTGAAGGAAAACATACTCTACATACCGGTGAGGAAATTTAAAGCCATATGTGAAGTCAACCAATCCGCATCGGGCCTG